TTTTTTTTTTAAGTAAATCAAAGATTTAAATTCCAGACTTTAAGACTTAAAGACTAATCACAAAATTTAGACCAAACTAACATTTTTTACAATGCTATTAGAGTTTGATTAGATAATTTTTTTTTAAAATAATTTGTATAAAAAGAAAATAAGAAAATAAGCAAGAAAAATGAAACTAGTTTTTGCATAAGTTAAAATATATAAGTTAAAAATATGTTTCTGAAAACACTAATATAAAAGAATATTTAAAGATTAGTTTATCCATAAATTATGGAAAAAATTATTTTATTTTTTCTTCTCTTGTAAATGATTATAAAAATACTTATTGGAAAAATACTCTTAATTAATTGTGTCAATGTATTGCAGACAAGATTTGTATTCATAAAGAAGCAAGTAGTGATTTTGTGTGTGCTCTTTCCAAGAACATGAACAATGGAAATCATATATGTTATTATAATTTTCATACTAAATTTTGCTACATGTGTTTATTTTTTTAATAAACTATTAAATTTTCCCTCCAAATATTATTCTCTTTTCTAAATGGTTCTTATAAATGAAAAGTCCTTAATAACATTCTTTTACATAAAATAAAAATTGATGAAAAATATTATTAATTTTATAAAGTATAAATAAAAAATATTATATTAAAAACAAATATAATATTTATTTTAATTTTTTAATATAATATTTATTATGAAATTAAAGAAGTATAAGGAGGGGAAAAAAAAAGCAAGGGTAAAAGACAGGTAGGTGGCGTGGCACTAGTTATTTTTGAGTTACATCAGAGCAGGAAGAAAGCTGAAGCAGTTACTCATTAACGCATAATTGGCTCCATGTCGGTTTCAACTACCAGCAGCTGTTGCTACGCTATTCGTAAGACTGTGTTTGGATTAGTTTCTAAGTTTTCTCCCCGAATTAACTTCCAAACAAACTCAAACGTAAGACCTTTTACACTTCCACTGTCGCTGTCGGGTAACTGCGTTTCGATGGAGCTGCGCACCACACACAATACAATCGCTTACTCTCGATTCCAAGCCACAGCAACAAAACCTTCTTCACGCAAACCAATGCTTGCCATTGCTTCAACGTTGTTCTTGTGTAGCGTGTCAGTTTTTCTTCTTCTTTTTCTTAACGATTGTTTTGCTTCGCTTGTTTAAACTTGCAAAGTGATCCGTTCCGTTACGCGTTGTGACCATGAAGCCTTGAATTGCATTTGCCACGTGTTGCAGTGCAGTGCCAGAGCCTTGAAGGACAATGCTGTTTCCCATAAGGGAGAACGCCATGCAGGGGAAGATGTCAAAGGCTTGAGATGCCAATGTTGTTTGCATAATCAAAGGTAATGAAATGAAATCTGGTGTTTAAGTCTGAATTGGTTTTAATTTTAGGACGAAACTTAGGTAGTACTGTTGCTATTTTTTTTTTCTTTTTTTAAATCAGAATTGGAGTTTCAGCTCGACAATTATCATTTATTGATGTCTGCATTAAATGTAAAAGTATATTAATCAGGTGAAAGTTTATCTCATATTGGAAAACAACATCAATTGTATCTATGCAACTATATCTAAGTTTTGTCCAAAAATATGTTATGTGACGTGCACCATAAAAAAAAATCATTACAAGTTATTTTTTTTTTAATGTTTGGAATTGGAACTGTGATGTGAGGTGATGTAGATGGATATTTTAGGTTGATTTGGAGAGAGCATGAACATGGCATCTTCATCATGGGAATATTTTGGGGAGCTTGCAAATGTGGCTCAACTAACCGGTATAGATGCGGTGAGGTTAATTGGGATGATTGTGAAAGCTGCAACTACAGCACGGATGCACAAGAAGAATTGCAGGCAGTTTGCTCAGCATCTGAAGTTGATTGGGAACTTGTTGGAGCAGCTCAAGATCTCGGACCTTAAGAAGTACCCCGAAACACGGGAGCCTCTGGAGCAGCTAGAAGATGCCCTTAGAAGGTCTTATATTTTGGTCCATAGTTGTCAGGACCGCAGCTATCTTTATTTGCTGGCCATGGGATGGAACATTGTTTATCAATTCAGGAAGGCTCAGAGTGAAATTGACAGTTACTTGCGCCTTGTTCCTCTCATTTCGCTAGTCGACAACGCTCGAGTGAGGGTATCTTCTATTCCTTTGCTGTGCTTGATTGTCTTAGCAGACTATCATTTAGGCCTAGTTGTGAATGGTGTTATGAATATTGTTTGGCCACAGTTTAAAGGTTGTTGTATCACTCAATACTCATTGGAATTGTTCTTTGAACATCTTAGTTGCTATTGATCAATCATCTAAGGTTATGTCTACTTCAAATTGTTTGCACAAAGTCATCTTTGCTAGGTTGCCATTAATTTGATTTATGAGGGGAAATTTAAATATTGTCTAGGGATATAATTCAGGCAGGTCATCTGCCAAAATCGATAAAGAAAGAACTAACTCCACTTTTGGCTCATTTACAACATTTGTTGAAGGTTATTGCCATCTTCTTTAGCAATCTAATGAAATGGGAAGTGTTCATAAAAGGCTCCCAGCGGCTCAACTAGCACATAGATAGGTAGGTGCTTGAACCAGCCTAGGCCCAGTCAGAGAGTCCAAAGGCTGAACTGAAGATGTCTTCGGGCGGCCATACGTGAGTTTAGAGGGAGAAGCTCATTACTGGAGGGTTTAATAGGGGCTAAGATTGTAGCCAAACAGATAGGAGTCAGAAGGGGATTTGTCCCGTTGACTGAACCTGAAAAATAACTAGAAACTCTCCCTGTTGATGCATAATTAGGGGTTAGTTCTCCTAGTTAATTAAGCAGGGGAATTAATTAATCTTGACAAGTCCTGTCATTGCTTTTTGCCTTGAACCAGATTGAGGTTGGGTAAATGAACCTGCATAACAGCATAGTTAAATCCAGTGGGATAACGTCTTCAAGCTGCTAGGGATGATGGAGCCTGACAATACTGGTGAGGTTGCATGGGCTTATGCTGAGGTTGACTGTGGTACAGGGAGTAATCCCTAGCACTTGGTGGAAGATTCGTGTTACTGGAATAAATAAATGACCTAAACTTGTTATCCTTCCTATTCCACTTGTTTGCTGATGGCCCGGATAGTTTGTTCTTTGATTGGTTACAGCAGTCAAGTTGGAATATTGATGTACTGCATAGCAAGTGTATAATCCTGGCTTGTTAAATTTAGTGTCCTATGCAAGTAAGTGGCATGTGCTGAATCTGTACAGCAAGCCAACTCAAAAAAGGGCAGTGTGCTAGAATATAAGAAATATGAATTCGTAAGGATCCATCATCCATTTAGAGTACTTGTCTCAACGGGATTTGAACAACCACTCTTACTGAACTCAATTTATTGAGATTCATATGTAGAGATGAATTATGTCTGATCCTTCCACATATATTCAAAAATCACAACTATATCCCTTGATGCTTATTATTTTCACTACATGCTATAAGGCAGCATTTTAATGTAATGTAGAACTCCATCCCTTCATGCTTTGTATTTGCGAATTTCTGAACATTTCCAAAGGCTGATCTACATTTTATAGTAACTTGCACGGAGACATTTGGGTTCATAATTTTGTTAGAATACTGCTAAGTGTTAACAACTGTTGCTTTTTGGAATATTCAGGAGAGACTTGAAATTATTGAAAAGGATCAATGTGAGTATTCATTGGATGATGAGGAGCAAAAGGTGCAGACTGTTATTTTGAAACCTGAGCCTGACAAAGGTGATGCTGTGGTGCTGAAGAAAACTCTTTCCTATTCTTACCCCAACTTTTCTTTCACTGAAGCCCTTAAAAAAGAAAATGAAAAGCTTCAAGTAGAGCTGCAACATTCACAAGCAAATATGGATATACATCAGTATGAATTCATTCAACATTTATTAGATTTCACAGAAGTTGCAGCTCATTATCATCCTGAAAAAAGTCATAAGACAGTAGAGTACAGTGGCTACAGTTATTCTGATGTCAATGGTGACAAAACTCATTCTTCTGATGAAAAAGTTCACAAAATGAATGATACTCTTTCCAGATCAAGGTAATTTTATCACTTTTGACCAACATTAAAGTAGTTAAATGAAATTTTAGCATTACACATATGATCCCTACGATGACTCAACGTTTTTCTTTAGTTATTACTCTGACCAACTTACACAACGTTAAGTATCCTGCTGTCCTGCTTCCTCCCCTCCACCCTTTTGTTGTGTTTTCATCCTGTCAATAATGGCTTTTTTTATATATAAAAAAGTATTTTTACCCTTATAATTACTAACTTATATTGAATTGAATCTGATGCTTCATTTGCCTGGGCTCAAACAGATCATCAGTTTCAGAAAAGGATCTGCTATCAACTGGAGGTTCATATCATCAGGAAGATTGGCATACTGATTTGCTTGCTTGTTGTTCTGAACCTTATCTTTGTATGTTCATCCACCTTAATTTGATTTTCTTTAGTTTGGTCAGCTACAATAGAATAATTTCTTTCTCTACCCAGATAGTTATGACAAGTACATTCTGGTTCACTGTATCTGTAGCCTTATTAACCAAAATGACATCCTTTTACTTTTTGCTTGAGTTAGTACTTAGTAGTACTGTAGTGTTATACAGCCCTTTATCATGAATGGCGCAACAAAACCCCTAAGTCACATATCTGATAATTTGTACCGGTATATAGATTGGTTTTGATTTTTCGGTATATTCCCCACCTATTATCCTTTGTCTTCATACATAATCTTATACTCAGCGAGCCTCTTGAGGTGCATGAGAATTTGATGTTTGGGAAATAGGATAGAGGTGGTATACATGATGTGCGTGAAATATTTGTGTTGGTGGACAACTATTTCACTGTGAAGATTGAATGAGGCTAGAAGTTAGTAGTGGTAATTGTTGCATCTGCACTTCCTTTCTCATTTTCCTTATGTGTGAAATCATAATATTTGTATAGGTGTAGTTTAATAAGCCCCTTTTCTTTCAAACAAGTTATTGAGAGAGAAGTCAAAAAACTATTAGAATCCAATTGTATGCTATGGACTCAAGTTCCAATTGGAAGTATGAGAAGGCTTTGGGCTCTCCAACTACAAAAGCTAGTTTTTGTGGTGTGGTCTCTCAAGGTTCTAAATTTTAATCAATACAATAAAGGAGGTTCAGCTTTTAGCATCACTGGAAATGAAGAGAACGGGGGGGCAATTGGATTTATTGGAATATGCTTTGTAAGTTAGAGTTGTTGTAGATTGATGAGCACCCTTAATTATATGAATTAATGAGTAAATGAGAGATTTTACTTATAAATGTACCTTAGTATTTTTGTAATATCTTTCTATGTGATTAACCTTTGTTTATTGGTTTAGAAAGTAGACACTTAGGGTTATAATTTAGACTCTCAAATCGCGTAAAAATGTTAGGAATTGATTGAGTTATGCGAGTTATAAGTTCAGTCTCCATTCTAGTGCGTGAAATATTAAGTTTTGTGTTGTCAGCCATGCGAGGTGACCTTAATGACATTTTTAGGCTTTTTGTTCTTCAAAAACGTTGTAGCTTTGGGTTTTAGCTTTCTAATTGCTTTGGAATTACTCAAAAAAGATGTGTATAACTCAAGTTATGGTCAAAATAGTGAGTAGAGGTCAAGTTGTCAGGATTTACGATGTCCAGTGCGGGTATTCTATTTTAATTTTCATTTTTTATGTTTTGGGACCCCCTTTTTGGCATGTTTGTGATAATTTATGATTTCTTAGTGATACTTTACAATACTTATGATGGAGGACCATTCTTGAGACATAATATAGGGCCTATCACAAGGTCCATGGCTAGGAGAGTAGAGGAAGATGAAGAACACACCACACCAAAAGTCATGATCATCATGTGTGTGGATTTTGGGCCCTCTCCTTAGCTTGTTGCTTTCCTTTCCTATTTTGCCCTTGTATTTTGGGTTACATTAGCTATTAGGATTTTATTGAGTATTTTTATATTTCAAGCCCAAATGCACCCTAAATGAACCCTAGATGCAGCTCAAATGAAATGGCTCTCATCTCTCCAAAACGACTAAAGTACCCTTAGTCCTAGAAAATGAAAGAAATGGACTTTTGACCTTACTAGTCAAGGTTAAGTCCCTAAATAAATCCTAAGCCTAATTTTTCCCCATAATACAAAGGCTAAATAAAAATACTCAATAAAATCCTAATAGCTAATGTAGTTGACCTAGTGGATTATTTTAAGAAAGGGGTCAAGCAAATTTATCTCTATTTATCTCATTTGCGTTCTGAAAGATTAGGAAAAAAATAGAGGAGAAACAAAGACTTATTTGCATTTACACAACCAGGTACGAGGGAAAAGAGATTACTTGTTTGCAAAGTCACATGAGGGAATTGGGTAGAAGAGAAATCTTTTAGGATTATAGGTAATTTTATTTTGCATGTATTGAGGATTAGGAATATGTAAACAATTTATAAAAATAATGATTTGGAAGAGAGAACGAAATTGTAGAAAAGTGCCTGTGAGTTAAGTTTTGGAAAAATTTGGGGTTTTATATTCTATAAAATTGATGATTCAATCGAGTTTTATATTGATTTATAAATGTGGTTTTTATATTATTTGGTAAAATTGATTATCTAGATGATAATTGGATTTATTGGAATATGCTTTGTAAGTTAGAGTTGTTGTAGATTGATGAGCACCCTTAATTATATGAATTAATGAGTAAATGAGAGATTTTACTTATAAATGTACCTTAGTATTTTTGTAATATCTTTCTATGTGATTAACCTTTGTTTATTGGTTTAGAAAGTAGACACTTAGGGTTATAATTTAGACTCTCAAATCGCGTAAAAATGTTAGGAATTGATTGAGTTATGCGAGTTATAAGTTCAGTCTCCATTCTAGTGCGTGAAATATTAAGTTTTGTGTTGTCAGCCATGCGAGGTGACCTACTTTCACTGGTTCATAAGACTATGCTTAACTGATCCCACCCACTTTTCCACTTCAATCTACTTGTTATTAGCCAAAAAATTTTCAAATGATAATAAATTAATCTTCCTTAATACTAGCTTTCGTTATTGATTATTTATTCAATAATAGATTAAATGCAATAAGGATTGATGACTCACATGGTTTAGTTAGAAAATTCATGATTTTTTTGGTCAATAAAAAATATGGATCGATTATTATAAAATATTATTTTCATTAAAAACTTTATAAAGATAAAAAAGTAATCTGACCAGTATAAAATGTGATAAATCAATGAAACATCCTCCCTATATAAATTAAAATAAGTTAATAATTATTTGATTGAAAAATTCTATCTTCTTTAACCTCTCATTATAACGATCTATTATGACTTCTATGCTAAACAACTCAACAATTAACTTAATATCATATATTGGAATAAATACAATATTGCATACAGTAATCTTGTATATATATATATATATATATATATATATATAAAACTAAGTTGTCAATCAAACAACTATAACTATCTATACAAAAATTCACCACCAATAGATAGTCAACAAAACATCTAGCTCTAACACTACTGTGTGACCTCTACTGTGACACTCTCGCCTTGTCCTTGTCCTATTCTTGTAATACTCCATTTTTCAAAATACTATTATTATTATTATTATATAATATTTGGTCAATATTATTTTATTATTATAAGAGAATATTATTTTACGTTTTAAATAATTATTTTGCACGTATTAAATTAGTATTTTTATTAATATTTTAAATAATTATTTGTATGTTATAAGGGATAATTTAGGAGTCGATTAATTATATATTTTATTATAAAATCTAAAAGGTTGATTTTATAAGATATTTTGATTTTGATATTGAAATTATATTATTATATTTTGGATAAAAAAATATATTATTATTATTATAATAGAGAAAAATTGTTTTATATTATATATATATTTATTTTATTTAATTATTTTGAGGAAAAGAGAAGCGGGTCGGAAGAGAGGGAAGATGGGTTAGGTTGACCTAGTGGATTATTTTAAGAAAGGGGTCAAGCAAATTTATCTCTATTTATCTCATTTGCGTTCTGAAAGATTAGGAAAAAAATAGAGGAGAAACAAAGACTTATTTGCATTTACACAACCAGGTACGAGGGAAAAGAGATTACTTGTTTGCAAAGTCACATGAGGGAATTGGGTAGAAGAGAAATCTTTTAGGATTATAGGTAATTTTATTTTGCATGTATTGAGGATTAGGAATATGTAAACAATTTATAAAAATAATGATTTGGAAGAGAGAACGAAATTGTAGAAAAGTGCCTGTGAGTTAAGTTTTGGAAAAATTTGGGGTTTTATATTCTATAAAATTGATGATTCAATCGAGTTTTATATTGATTTATAAATGTGGTTTTTATATTATTTGGTAAAATTGATTATCTAGATGATAATTGGATTTATTGGAATATGCTTTGTAAGTTAGAGTTGTTGTAGATTGATGAGCACCCTTAATTATATGAATTAATGAGTAAATGAGAGATTTTACTTATAAATGTACCTTAGTATTTTTGTAATATCTTTCTATGTGATTAACCTTTGTTTATTGGTTTAGAAAGTAGACACTTAGGGTTATAATTTAGACTCTCAAATCGCGTAAAAATGTTAGGAATTGATTGAGTTATGCGAGTTATAAGTTCAGTCTCCATTCTAGTGCGTGAAATATTAAGTTTTGTGTTGTCAGCCATGCGAGGTGACCTTAATGACATTTTTAGGCTTTTTGTTCTTCAAAAACGTTGTAGCTTTGGGTTTTAGCTTTCTAATTGCTTTGGAATTACTCAAAAAAGATGTGTATAACTCAAGTTATGGTCAAAATAGTGAGTAGAGGTCAAGTTGTCAGGATTTACGATGTCCAGTGCGGGTATTCTATTTTAATTTTCATTTTTTATGTTTTGGGACCCCCTTTTTGGCATGTTTGTGATAATTTATGATTTCTTAGTGATACTTTACAATACTTATGATGGAGGACCATTCTTGAGACATAATATAGGGCCTATCACAAGGTCCATGGC